CATGTCATGTTTAGTGTTTTCAGAAACTCCCCGTAGGGACCCGGGGAAGATACACAAGTATGTGTTCTCAGCACCACATTGCTGGTCCTAAAAGGCGACCGAAATGGGCTGCCTATTTGCCGTGGGCTGCGACCCCGTGTCGGCAGAGGAAGGGATTCTGGTGGTTGAGGGCGATGGAGCCGGCAATAGTGCTCCTTAGTCCACTTCGACCCTAACTTTGCCTAGACGGGCGGTAGAATGGGCCCGATTCTATCAACCGGCAGGCCATGTCATCCTCTGTGCATACAATATTTCGCACAAACATTTGATACCTAATAATAAATTTATTCTTAATGTCTATTGTAAATGTATATGAATCTATAAACTTGCTTAGAGCCCTATGCCCTTAAGGCATGGGCCAATCTGGTGATGCTGACCTCCGAATTCTGTACGTCTCCAATTTATTGTCATGGGCCGAACCAGCCTGACTTAATTTGGTTGATAGCTATAGCTTTTCGTGTCAAATTTGCTGGAGTATAAAACCCCGTTATCCTCGGTCTTTGCAGATTGGAAATCCGCTGCAGTATAAGACTGTCCTTGTAGAGACTCCATGGTGGGTGGGGAAAAGGGGTGCTGAATCATTTTCCTTTTGACATGGCTTCCCAACACCCTGGTTCAAAACGTAGATATCTTGAATCTGACAATTCACATGACGAAAATACCACCAACCGATCTGACAATTGGACACGTTTTTTGATTATCGAAAAACCCATAAAACTAAATATGTTTGTAATCTCCAAAGGTATCGCTGGTACCTGCGGAGAGGTTACAAATGTCACCTAGCTTCGATCCGGTTCTCTCCTTGTGGAATGGGGGGCACGGGTGGCCCAGTCGTCTGAGGCGCCGCGATTCGCTGTGCAGAGTTGCGTCCCTTGGGCACGCCAGAAACCTATGATTGTGGGTTCGAATCCCGGTTCGCCCCGATTATGTTTCTAGGTTTGTCAGCACCATACCCGTGCTCGTGGGTTTCACCGAAGTGGTAAACGTTTGAGGCCTGCATCACTTCGGGCTTTCCTCCCACATTAAGCTGACACGCCGCGATATAACTGGAATACTGTTAAAAGCGGCGTTAAACCCAACTCACTCACTCACTCACTCCTTGTGGAATGTGCATGGAGACAGCAATCCATCAATCTTCTCAGTTTGAAAGAGTTTTTAAATATCACGATTGCTGTCTCTGAAAACAGGACACTGAACTGATGCAAGTGAATTGACCGTGACAGGGCTCGCTGCCTGTCCAGCATGACCGAGGATAAAATAGTCAAAGAACTTGTCCAACAGTCTGTCACTGCTGTTTAACGATTTACGGTAAAAAAGGATAATGTGGTTGTAGAGACCAACACCTATCTCTTCACTTTTGCCCGTTCGAAGATTCCACGTCCCCAGTATGGTGATCTCCCTTCAGAGGCTGGCGATCTATAGCCCGTTTTTATCATGTTATTGTTCTGTATAAGTGTTATCCTTTTTTATGATCCCATACTAGTTTGAAAATCTTTTTCTGTGATAAGTCTAGTACTTTTTACTGTCCTTCGTTGGCAGGTTTTTATATAAGTTTAATTGTATTTATAAAAATTAAACCTTGATAGTCACGATATGGCTGAAATATCTAATATCTATATCTAACATCAGGGCCAATCTAAAGGTTTCATCATCTTCTCCGATTCATTGTCATGCCTTCTGGCACTTGAGGGTGTCTCCTCGGGTCGTCCTGTGATCCTGGACATTTTGGAACTTGTCAATGGTCTTTCTGCTGGCCAATGCGACATCGTCTTTTGCTGGTTATCAATTCGTGTGGGCATCCCAGGTAACACAAAAGCCCATGCAGCAGCTGAGGCAGCTCTTGACAAACCGTTTTCTCTACTGCTTATCCCGTGCAGTGATTTCAGGCCAGCCGTCGAGAGTTATACTCGGGGTGTCATGTGGGGGAAGTGGGGCACCCAGGTGGGAAGCAGTAAACTTCACGAATTAAAACAAACAATCGGTCCGGCCTGCTTGGGTAGTTAGGACTGGACGAGGTCGTTTTGCGACGATGTCGTATTGGCCACGGTCGTTTTGCACAGGAGTGTCTGCTTGGGACAGATGGGGACGAACCTCCTAGGTGTATCCTTTGTGATGAAAGGTTCACCGTCAAGCATATATTGCTTGACTGTGCGGACTTTGCAATCACAAGGGATTCACATTATTAAAGTCTAAATCTGAAAGATCTCTTTTCCCGTGTCAGCGGGCATCTTATTATCAGCTATTTGAAAGACATTTGTCTGTATAATAAATTTTAAATATGTATGTAAATAAATAAATGCTTGTTTTTATATTTGGTTTGGTGCTTTTATCTACTGACTTTATTGAAGGCTCTGTCCAGGGGGCTTAAAGTATCGTAAAATTATTGTCCCCCTGTGTGACACGTAATCCTATCATAATAGATATAACTATCATCAACCAGTGTTTTTACTCATTGCTAAGTATTTTTTTAATATTGGCTACTATTGTGCACAACCACCAGTATCTAAAGTAATGACGTAAATCCTGCTGGGCTATCATGCAGGAAGCAGAAGTACTGTAAGTCTCCATGATCCCCAGCAAGGTGGCCTAGCTTTGGTAACTGGTGACCTATAGCCCGTGTTTTAAAACTGTATGTATAATATTGTTATGCTCAAATATGTTTCATAAATTGTTTCTAAATATATTAAATAAAAAAATCCATTAATAACTAAATTGTAAATATATCAACTTGGTCTCGTCGATATGTGGCTGAAATAATGCCGATGCGACGTCAAATTTTAACTCACTCACTCACTCACTTTTCAGAAACATTGTCGCTACTGTACATGTGCACTACGATAAAACGATCAAACAAGGGTCATAACTCTGTAAAGCAATAATTGTCTATTATCAACATTATAATCCCTTAATGATTTATACAAATTGTCCATAAAAGGTTCCAAGGAAATTTGTTCCAAGTGATCATGAAGTCGGACGGACAAACGGGCGGGCGGAGCCCAAACCTATGCCCCCCGCCCAGTTTCGTGACGGTAGATAATTATGATGACATAGACTACTTGGTTTTATAGAGACTATAGATAACAATATCCTAAATAAACTGACGTCCAAAAGAAACTTTACCAGAGTTTGAAATAACTCTTACTCAAAAACCAACAAAACATACATGCATGAAGTAAAGTGTATTGAGAAGATCAATATATCAACTTTCGAGCTTTCAGAATCATGGACAATAGGCAGAGTACATAAACAATCGCTCACTTTCAATAACAAGTCATTAGTAGCGTGTGTGACCACCAAATGCCTCAATACACGCAAATACTCTTCGACGCACAGAAAAAGTCAGTTGTCTGATGAGGTCACGTGGGATTTGACGCCATTCTTCTTGGAGGGCCACGATCAGTTCTTGCCGGTTGGCTGGAGAGTGTGGTCATTGTCGAACACGACGATCTATCAATTCCCAGAGGTGTTCCATGGGGGACAAATCGGGTGAGCGTGCAGGTCACGGCAGGGCGTTGACGTTGTTGGCTGCGAGGAAGTAAGTGACAATTATGGCTGTATTGGCTCTAGCGTTGTCATGCTGATAAATGACACCACGTGGCTGCTGTTGGAGAAATGGTAGGACAACTGGAAGAAGAGTGTTATCCATGTAACGCTGAGCTGTCAAGTTTCCGTCAACGATGACCAGCGGTGTCCTCTCCTGCCCACATATCCCTCCCCACACCATGACACTCCCTCCATCATATGGTACGACCTCCTGCACGCAACACGCCGCCGTTCGTTCACCCCTTCGGCGGTAAACACGTTGTCTTCCATCAGCCCTAAACATACAGAATCGACTTTCGTCAGTGAAGACAACCCTCTGCCAGTCACGTCGTTGTCAACGTCGTACAGTCCGGGCCAATCTCAATCACAGACGACGATGTTGCGCTGTCAATAGCTCTCCTCTGTATGGTCTAAAAGCCATGATTCCATGAGCCCTGAGTCTCCTGGCCACTGTCTGTCGACTAACCCTGTGACCTAAGGCATTTGTCGCCGATGACGTCACTGTCAGGAAGCGATTTCGGCGGGTGCTAGGTACGCAAGTACCGGTCATCATGGGGCGTGGTCACCCTGGGTCTGCCTGTTCTTGGCCTGTCAGCGGTCCGCCCTGTCTGTATGTAACGTTGCATCAAGTTGGAAACGGCAACACGGGAGCAACCGAAGGTTCGTGCAATATGGGCGTGGGTGGCTCCCATCGGTACCATACCCAAGGCTCGTTCACGTTATTCGACTGTGAGTCGTGGCATTTCTTTTGTGTTTTTTTTATCATTGTGGATGTCTGACTTGCCGTTGCAATCGTTTTATACCCTTACCCGCACATGCATTTGCAGTTGTCCTTGGTGCACATGTTTTTCACTTTTTCGCGTGTTATCTCGAAAACATGTAACAGACGATTAAAACTTTCTGCATACACTATTGTTGTATTTAGGCTATGTGTTTTAGATAGACTTCATCGGAAAAAAGTTATACTTTGTCTGAAATTTATATATTTTCAGTTGGTAAAGTTTCTTTTGGACGTCAGTTTATATCAAGAAAGATCAGGGCAGATGATTTAAGAAATGGAAAATCGTTAGAATTTCTATGGGTTCTTCTTGGTCTAATGAAACACCTGTATGTTTAAATCACTTCAGGGAGTCTAAGAGAAGTTTTGATTTATTTGCTTCACAACATGGCGAATGAGAACATGACAGTTACTTGTGTAAAGTTAAAAATATGAAAAGGATTATATGACCTAAAAGTATTGTCATCAGAAATAGTAGTATACCTGGTACAACAATGTATTTAGATCCCAGTCACTTAAGCACCAGGACTTCACAGATGTAACGTTTAAATAGAACTTGCAGACTATTGAGGAAAATGTCATACTTATTGTAATGAAAAAGGATGTGTGATGCCCCACGTTATATAATAAATGTACTTACTTGGAATATAGTATCTTGTCGATGGACTTGAAGTAGTCACAGCGGCAGTTGGAAATACAAAATCATGCAAATGACATGTTTGGTTATTGCCATCATAGAAGAACGACCCGCACGTGTTACTGGTGCTGCATAATATGGCACAGTATCTTCTCGAAACTTTTCCTACCGTCTTGGACGCAGGGAAGTTTACTGTTTTCTCTTTGACTTCTACATGTTCAGTAAATGTTAACGTACGAACGTTTCCTTGACAGCAACCGCTGATGAAGATGACAACTACGATCAAAACGTTAAAATACAAGAACATTGTGACATAAACACTGATATTCTGTAAACATAAAGTCCAAATGATTCCAAATTAATGATCTGAACTCATGCAACAACTGTGTCCGAATCGACAGTGTAAGTGCTATACAGAAAGTGAAGCTCTTGAATACCCGTAACATTGATAATTAATGGAGCCGTTTGTATGCAGAGCCAGGACAGTCAGACACTGCTGAGAGTGAAGCGTCAATTGATCTCTTGTGGTTGTTAAAGATAAATTTTCAAGACAGGATTACTCATATATTCACTATCAGCGATGCTTGGACTGCATGCATTCCATATTTGCATTCTGCTGATAGGCCAGTAACTCGCATCTAAACAAAATATGCCAACATTTTGTCCGATCACATTCTCACCAGATCACGATGAGTGAAAGACAAATATGTGTGGTACAGTGGCTGATTAGCATATGTTGTGCTTTTACTCGATGAAACGAGGCAGTTATTGTCATCTATGTTTGCCTTTTAGTATCTCACATGGAACAATGATACCTGCATTGTCCGTCAGTTTATCCTTTAGAAAGGTGTTCTGCGTCAGAGTCAGCTGAAACTTTACATTACATTAACTCTGTTTTAGTCGGGTTTCGTTTTTTGAATGTATTTGAAAAACAAATCAATTTGTTGAAACTCTGGAGAACCGAAAAATTTGATATGATATGTACATGTAGCAACACAAAGCAATCCACGTGCGTGCCATAATTTAGCTTTGATTGAAATTCGCAAGAAAATCATTTTTTGAAGAATATAAATGTCATTATAATCGCCAGTTACCATATCGCAGATGCAGGAGTTCCACTTTAATACACCTCAGCAATGTTTTTGAAAAGAGTGATTTGTAAAGGAACAATACTAAATTTTATTGTTGCATAGGTAGTATATTATTCTGTTTTGCAGTAAATATATTGAGCAAAATAACTAACGTTTCTGTTTAATAATGACATGTTTGCTTCGTTTTGTATACAGCATTGCTGTTATCGATTTCATTTGTACATACATGTATCTCACTTCTTTGAAAACAACATGACATGATCTCTTCCATTTTAGGGGTGACAGGTTATAAAGGTAGTGACGAAAATGCTCAAATAAATCTTTTCTTAAATTTCTCAATCTGTTCTGGCGTGACCCGTAATGGGATGTCCTCAGATCTTTGTTCAGCGGCAGCGAGAACTAAGATCTAATTTTTATAAGATTGTATTTGACTCAGCATAATTCATAAACACGACTGATGAGCTCCTGATGAAACTCAGTAATCAACAGAAACATGGAAACAAAGAAATCCCATACGCAGGTAGGGCACATATACACAAAGGCCACGCACCCAACCAACCTGCGTTTTAACACGACAAATACGTTAATTCAAAGGAGGTGAAAAACATAAAGGGTTCAACTTTTCTTGTTGAGGATGAATCTATTCAGTTTAGGATTGTGAGAAATAAAAAAATCACTTCATCTTCCGTTTCAAACTGCCGTGCATTGCTTTATATCTTTCTTTATACATTTCTTTCACAGCTTTTGAGGTACAATCGTGCATGCTCTTTACACCAAGATTTCAAAGAGCGTCATATGACTCTTGCTCAGAAGTTGTTTGATCAAGGTTACAACATTCAAGGCCTTCAGTAAGGCTTTCAAAACGTTTGTGGTGACATGTGGACGACACTCCCAAAGTTGACGCGTCAGAGATGAAAATTATGTCGGATGCAATTCCCTATTTTGACTTTTACCATATGTTCCCGTGTTGTTGTTTTTCAGGTGGGCAGTTGACTTGCCTTTGCAAGTGTTGGTGACGGGTGCCACCTGTGGGGCAGGATGCGTCACCTTTTTGCGAACACCTGGTATCATCACTATCTGATAATGATAAACACATGCTCATGATTATGATATTGTCGGAATCGTACGATCGACTCCTTTTTGGCAGAGATTTCTTTTCAAGATGGAAAGGGTTTTGTCGCTTTTATATATCATAAGGAATGACACCCACTATTGCTTGTGTTGGTATTGAGAAAAATATTCCTCCACTCAATACGATATAACGATTTAAATGAACAGTTATATCACGGCGTGTCAGTGTGAGGAAAAACCTTTTGTTGACAAACCTTTTAAGCAAACATTACACATATACATATATGTACATTGTGTTATTGTCTACATAATTCACTGTGTCATAATGCGGTTCAACTGTAGAAATAACTGCTTACAGGCCGCCGCGAGTCAGCTTGAATATTGTTTTAATTTGCGTAAACATCAATCACTTATTCACACTCGCTCACCCTCCGCATGACTACCCTTGTTATATACCAAGTTTTATAGTTATAGCCTACTGAGATACCATGTCGCATTTAATATTTATACTAACTCCGAGCCGACCAGGTAGCCTATTCTCTATGGAATCCTGGAAGGGACATTGTCGTGTTGCGGTATAGTGTTTGTACGGGAGACAACGCGACATTTTGACCGTTGTTTCGTTGTCACCTTGTCCCGCTTTAGTTAAATTGGACACTTTTTGTTTGATATTGTAAGGGCGTCAACGCTATATTGCGACATATATGTTAACGTTATCAGGTACTTGTTGAGTTACATAATTCAATACGTCAACGCAAGAAAATAACCGATCTCGATTATCTGGCGAAACAGGTTTATTACATTTTAACTCATTCTCATTCTCTCATGCACAAATGACAGACAGTGATGGGGAGAAATTTTGATTATGTAAACTATCATATACATGTTGTATTAAGCGAATCATATCTTTAAAGGCATCAGTTGACTTGCAGATGAAATATATATATATGTAAACAAATTTGAAAAACTACTCGAAATCTTTGGTTAAGGTGCAAAACAACATTTGATCATTATTTTATACCAGATTTTGTGAAATAATTATTATGTTATGTTCGTAGCTAGTCCGTACCGAGTACGGAATACAGTAATGTCATATTTTTGTATGATTTCAAAACAATGACGTTGTGACTGCAATTACAAAACTGACAATTACAATTCTCATCTGGACTTCAAGATGAGCAGCAGCTTGGATCGGCCCGCACGGGAAGGGGTCGATGGGGGGGTGTGTGGGAGGGGGCGGAGTCGCACCCACATCAACGTAATTAGGATCGGCATCTGAAATAACAAACACAATGTATAGATATACTTACCCCACTGCCCTAACTGTTCTACTGCCTTGACAGTTGAGAACTCGGTTCTTGTTTAATTAATCACGAACACAAATATGTATCGTAAACATAAATATGTATCATAAACACAAATATATGTCATAAACACAGATACATGTGTTTCATAAACACAAATTTATGTCATGAACACAAATATGTGTTATAAACACAAATATATGTTATGGACACAAATGTCATGAACACAAATATATGTCATAAACACAAATATGTGTCATAAACATAAATATATGTTATGAACACAAATATGTTCCATAAACAGAAATACATGTTACAAACACAGATATGTTTCATAAACACAAATAAATCACAACGGTATAAATATCTATACGTTCAAATATCCTCATCTTTTGCGCCATGTTATGCGTGTGCGTTTGCGTGTGCGTTTGCGTTTGCGTGAGGTGAGGTGAGTTGAAATTGGGTTTAACGTCGCGTCCGAAATTATTGCACTCATATAGCGACGTGTGTGTGTGTGTGTGTGTGTAGGTGTGTGTGTGGGGGGGCTGCCTGTACCAGTCCGGACTGATGCCGATTTATAGTGCTAGCTGACTGATATACCATGCCGCAGTTTAACATGAATACCCCACTCAGACACAGTATACGGACTCCGAGTCGACCAGTCCTTGTTTTAGCCCCTAATGCCGAGCGCCAGACAGGGAAACAACAAGTACCATAAGTGTGTGTGTGTGTGTGTGTGTGTGTGTGTGTGTGTGTGTGTGTGTGTGTGTGTGTGTGTGTGTGTGTGTGTGTGTGTGTGTGTGTGTGAAAGTTAACGCAGTCTTCAGAAGCGCACTAAGTGTGGTTATTTGTAACTGCAAGGCAATGAATGGCTTGCCTTCAATACAAAGATACTTTGGCAGTTATAACGTATTGTTCTGCAATATGGGAAACTAAAAGGTACATTGTTTGTTGTAATGTTTGTTTGTTCTTTAACGCCGCAGTCAGAAATATTCCAGTTATATGAAGGCGGTCTGTAAATAATCGAGTCTTGACTAGACAATCCAGTGATTGATCTCATGAGCATCGATCGACGCAATTCGGACATGATGACATGCATCGACCAAGTCAGCGTGTCTGACCACCCGATCCCGTTAGTCGCCTCTAAAGACAAACATAGTCGACTTTTACAGTCGGTTATGTCGACATGCAGATGCCATAAGATGTGGAATATGCATTCACTATATCAACGAACATTTGAATGTTTGAAGACTTACATGGACATACGTTACACAGGATAGGACAGAAGACCTGGGCTAGGGGATTCCTAGTGCACGCATCGTCCGGAAAGGTCTCTTCGTTACAGAAGAATGGCTCTGTGACGTCATCACAGGACACTGGGGATACATCATACGTGGAGGACAGTTATTGTAATGCATATTTATCCTCTAAAGAATTCGTAAAGGAGATTTATCACACTACCTTTATAAAGTATGCAAGATGTTTTCGAAAGCTTGGTTCATAGCACATATTATCTACGCACTTTTGTGTCGCGTCCAGTGTCCGTCTTGTAACAGTTGATTATTGATATAATCTCCTAACGTAAACGAGACGGAAATATTGTTATCACTGACTTATCCACGGGAAAATTATTAACATACTTAAGAACACATTGTTCATATAGTTTAACAACTGCAACTGTAGGATACAGACCGAATCATTACAATGCATAATAATGAAGATGTGATACACTTGATACTCGATGATATATAGTGACTCATTAATTCTGAAAGATAAAGTAATTATTCACATATGACACTTATGATATTTCAGAAAGAGGATAACCATTTTCATATGACATATCTGATTTTCCGAAAGAAAGTAAATATTCACGTATGCTATTTCAGAAAGATAAGCTATTTACGTATGACACTTATTATATATCAGAAAGATTAGTAACTTTTCACTTATGATATTTCAGAAAATCAAAGAAAGTATTCGCTTATATTTCAGAAAGATAAAGTATCTATTCACATATGACACATGTTGTTTCAGAAAGATAAAGTTTATATTTACATAGTGCATGCTCAGGTTAAAGGTCGCTATCTAAACTTAAAGACGTCAAGAATCCATTTCCAACGCCAAGTATAGCCACAAAATATAGTTATTTTATGTAACCTGTTATCAGGACTTGCATTGACTGTAAGTGAATAATTATCATTGCGAAAGGAACACAATTGTTCATTCTGTAATAGATGAGTGCCATTATTTTAACAAAATATATTCCTTGAAAACATGTACAGGTATCTGTGACCGCTATGTATACCCACATGTGCACCCGGGGTGTTGATTGAATTCCGTCTTACAGGAACACGTGCATTCAGAAGGATCCATGATACCATCATTTTCACAATACTTGTCGCCGCAATCTGGAATGCAGACCATTGTTGGTTTTGCATAAAATTGTTAACGGAAAATAAATAATTGGATAACAGGATGAATGGTTGAATGTACGGATTAACATATTACAAAAATGTTGAATAAATGTTTTGTCACTTATTATTTTGGTGAATGTTACATTAGAATTCGGACAGGTATTCTGGTTACCATGTATCCATTCACACGACACAACACATGTCTTAAAATTGGACCATGGTCTTAACAGTAATTCTATCAGGAACAAGAAGTTGCAGGGGATCACTGGTGGCCAAATCGACATGGGCGCCGGAATTCACTGAACAGAGTTGCGTCCCTTAGATGTGCAAGAAACCTCTCATCGTGGGTTTCAATCACAGATTGGCCCTGATTCTAGGCGTGTCAGCACCATACCCGACGTCGTGTTTCACCAAAGTGGTAACCGTCTAAAACATGTAACAGTTCACGCTTTCACGCCGCTACGCCGTGATATGAATGAATTACTATTCACAGCGGCGTTAACCAATACTCACTCACGATGTATCGTGGTAATTGGGTTCCAGTTAATGGTGTCTCACTCATCCACATACAACTCGTACATCTAACGCACGTCTACATTGTATTGCTCCAAGTACATCTGTATATATCAACACTGGTTAATAATAAGATCTTGCGATATGATTGGGTTCACGGTAAAGATCACGATGTCTTCTCATGCCTGGGTTTCTGATAGGGGTTCGGCAATGACTACACCTTCGTGTTACTTTCACTGTAGTGAGGTACTGACATCAAGCGGCCACTGTTGAAACCCAGAGCATGTTAAACAAGATAAAGTAGTTGACTCACTACAAAGTCCATCATCACAGTTGCTAGTGCAGGCACCGCACGTTGTACCGTTGGTGTAAGGTTTGCTGTTGTCCTTACGCGTGTTGCCGCTGCACATACAACAAACACCCTTATATGTATACACGTCAAGTAGTACTGCAACTTCATATGTTATTGTTTTTTAGGACAAAAGTAACAGTACGCATTTAAATATACTCTTAAAAAAAACACGCACTAATAAAAACAAAATTATCGGACCAAGAGGTGCAAAATAAAGAGGTTTAATGTGTTATAGTGTCAGTGACACATTTTCCGGATCAAAATGATCACAACAAGGACATGCAAACCTTTAGCCGGAAACGAGTACGATTCGGAAAAACGCACACAGTGCCTTTACAAAAGGGCCATGGAGCTGCACGTACTGCACGTGCAGGAGCACCATGTGCGGTATTAAAGTGAAAGGATTTTGATTGCCTGTTATCTGCGTCAATCGAACAGTGACACTTTAACAACATGCCAAGATTAACAGAAGTGCAAAGACACAACGTCATAGGCCGCTGCAGGCAGGGAAATCCCGTGGCCAGGGTTTTCAATGTAGCGCCCAGCACCATCACAGGGCTTTGGGCTCGGTTTCAACAGCATGGGTCAACATGTCATCGGCCAAGGTCGGGACGATCAAGGGTAACCAACCCCACCCAAGATCGCTACATCCGATTGCGCGACGTCAACCGCATCCCAAATACCCGGACTGCGCAGAAACTCCGACCAGACCGTGCGAAGCCGTTTAAGAGCAGCAGGTCTACGAGCAAGACGTCCTGTTGGATAACATCGTCAACAACGACTGCATTGGTGTCGTCAACACAGGGAATGGTCTCAACTGCGATGGAGAGATGTCTGGTTCAGCGACGAATTTCTCCTCTGTCGAGGGAATTGAAGAGCACGGGTCTACAGACGTCGGGGAGAACGTTACGCCCGAAACTGCGAACAATGTGGATAGGTGTGGTGGGGGTAGCGTTATGATGTGGGTAGATATCTCTCATCATGGCAGGACAGGTTTGGTCCATATCCAGGGCAATCTTACAGGTCAACGATACATCAACAAAATTCTTCTACCATACGTCCTCCCAATTGCATCCAACGGCAACGGTGTATTCCAGCAGGACAAAGCTCGACCGCATACAGCATGGATCACAAGAGCCTGTCTACACAACAATAACGTTGATGTTCTCCCCTGGCCCTCCAGATCCCTGGATTTGAACCCGATAGAGCAGTCAACCACAAACCCAGATGTTGCAGCAGTTGCATTTGCGTTGCTGGTCGAGTGGGTTACCTCTCCCCAGGATGTGATTCGCATACTCTTCTCTTCCATGGGCACGGCCGCTATCGATTGCAACGGGGGACATACGCGTTATTGATGTTAGCTGACCATCACCTTGGACCTTTCCTGTGTACCGATAACTGAGATGACTACAATCACCAAGTGTTCTCTCCACAACATTTTGGCTCAATACCTTGTACGGTTCCTCATGTGAATGTATTTTCCTACCTCATATAAATTTGGTAAGGTAAGGTGAAATGAAGTTAAACGTCGCGTCCAAGATTATTACACTTATTTAGAGACGTGTATGCATGTGTGTGTGTGTGGTTACTTGTACCAGTCCGGACTCATGTCGATTTATAGTCCACTGAGATACAATGCCGCAGTTTAACATGAATACCCCACTCAGACACAGTATACTGACTCCGAGCCGACCAGTCCTGGTTTTAGCCCCTTCATGCCGAGCGCCAGACAGGGTAACAACAAGTACCATCTTTTAACGTCTTTTGGTATGACGCGGCCGGGAATCGAACCCCGGACCTTCCGCTCTCCGGGCGGACGCTCTACCACTAGACCACGGAGGCGGTCCATACAAATCCGTCTTTGCGTTTCTTTTTTCGAAGTGTATATTTTGAGAACTGAAAATTGATAAGCGATAATGATATTATCCATTGTATACCTTCATGTAGATATATCATGTTTTGAACAGAAGAGTGAAATACTATTTTAATGCCTATAGGGCTCAAAACGATGGTAACACATCAAGTGTTCTATCGATTTAAACTGATGACCATACTGCTCCATTGGAATCAGACATTATTAGTGCAATATAAATTATGCATGTACATGTAGCATGGCTATACAAACTGATTGATTTCTTACCTTGGTCCATAATTGCAGACATAAACAAACCTTCCGTCACAGTCCGCGAAACCACACCCAATTCTTGTTGTTGATTCCCACACGAGCTGAAGAACAAGTAAACAATGAAGCCCTCATTACTACCAGCACAGACTGTTAGGGACCAATGCACTCCCAGAACCCCCACGGGAAAGTTGTATGTGAGGGTGAGTTGGGTTCACACAAGTTTGAACAGTATGACAGCGAAATGTCAGGAAGAAATGGATTTGCAGGCATTAGTGCTCAAGTCGATTTTTGGTTTTTATTTTCTTCACCACATACTGAAGAATTAAAATTCTATAAAAATGGTAACCAGCAAGACAGATCCTTGCATATTTGTAGGAATTTGAAAGTGCATATGCTAAATATTTATGTACATTCTGGTGTAGAACTTTATATATCAATTAAATCCGATAACTGTTAAGCATACAACATTCAAGTCGTTGTTACATATTTTATAAATTATAACAATTTTTTTATTTTTTTTATACGTTTCAAATTTTCTAGGTCATGATTATTGACAAAGAATCACAAAATTTTCCTTTATGCATCTGCCCCACCAAATAATACTATATTTTATCTTGACAGACAAATGTGAGAAAAAAGTCAGAAGTGACTCGGGTCGTTTGACGTTGGGTATTTCGATTAAACTCACACAAAAATGGTATGGTAATGACTGATCAAGTGTCATAATCAGGGCGCATCTCGGACACGAACCCACGACAAGTTTGAAGGGACATAGTTCCTCGATTGTAGATGTGCATGTTATAAGAACATAAGGGCATCTGGTGTGAGATGTTTCGGTTAGTACATTGATCTAATTTTAAACTCATTTGACTCCATATATCGTTTACGACGACCATATGTAGTGGTCCGACAAAATTGTTATCAGCACTCTTGTCACCTCGAACTACGCATATCTCGAACAACAGTGAAACCTCGTTCACCCGGACCCTGTTAATATGGCAAACCCGCCAAGCCGTATTCTACGTAATAAGCGCCCCGCTCTACTAAGCGCCCGATGCGATATTTGCTAATATATTGGCTAGTGAACAATCCCAATTGGCACCCCTTCCGATTAATCAATGTACACAAGACTTTTTTTTTCGCGAATAATACGCACTCGTGTGTTATATCCACCCTAAATTATGGGCAATTAATACATAAACATTTCAGGCCGTCCGCATAAACCAAGAAATTTATCTCTCAACTCCGTTTTTTTTTTCACCAAAATAATATTCTAATAAGAGCCCCCTATTTCTAATTTTGAGAGCGCCCTGGGCGCTTATTACGTCGAATACGGTATTAACATTTAAGAAATAATAATACGTGCCCGAAATTTATTCATCCGGGTGATTAAATAGTAACGGTACCTCTGGTTTAACGGGGTTTCACTTTATGTTCGATCGTATGGACTTCCCTGTTTCACTGGTATATATACTGAACAAAAATGTTAGAAATAATTTTTAAGGATGTTTTTTGTAGTGAAGACTGAGACCATAATTCTCCCAAAAATTCAGGATCCCTAATTTTTTATGTTAGTGTATTCTGCAAACCTGTGTGTAAGGGGCTGTTTTATCAACATTGGTATTGCTGCCATACACGAAATCCTTCCCCGAGTGCCACCATGTGTTGATGGCGTCTGTCCAACTGTCTAAACCAGCGGCAATGTTTTGCCCTAAACGGAAACGACCTAAAATATAAAAAATTGATACTGTTTTGTTACACAAGACAAAAAAACGGCATTATCCATATAGAGTTGCATGTTTTAATCTTACGACATCATTATCCTTACATTTGATCTGTTTAGCTACAATGTTTCTGAAACGAGTGAGTGCATAAGTTCTAAGAATACCAGGAATTGTTCTATGTGATGGTTCATCTGAGCCCTCTTCACAGGCCTCCGCCCACACACGTGCAACCATGGCAATCTCAGCGTCCCAAGTCTAAAAATAAAACAAAAATTAAAACACCATTTCGAAATAAATTAAACTCTAAAACAGCATTTCCACATTAAATGTATTACAATGCTAGGATCCATGAACTCTCGGTTTTGAAAATTGATATGCCAATGGAGGATATTTTCCTACCCTTTTCCTCATCAAATAGCATCTTCATATCATCATGTAAGTTAACGAAGCATATACGCCATCATACAAGAACATTCCTTATCAGATCACGAGAAGTCGATATAATGAGTCATTTCACAAGACCAGAACACACACACAAATTTTTCAGACATTTCCGAGTGAATTTTTGTTAAATTCACGCGTGATAAGAAAGATGATTTTATGGGGTTTTGCACGTGCACTCGCACATCAATTATCGCTTTAAAGCTTGGAGGTAAGTTCACAAGAGACAAAGAAATACAGTAATGAATGGTTTTTTTATATATCACAGCCTCATCCATATTTGATGAACGTCAGTGATGTGACATACGACAAACTAATTCGATTTAACGTATATGTTTACCAATTTCATCATGTTTCTGGCTGACGGCGTCACGTTTTGTCTGTGCATGTTGTGTTGTTGAAGTATCAGCTCTATATCGGATGATGAAATATTCATATCTGACAAATAGAAGAAACATACTTAAACGCTCATGACAACTGCACAATAATGATATCCGACGCACGTTACCAAGGCAACATGTATGCCATGGTGGGTAGCAGATGTGTAATTATGAACTGACTTCTGTTTGACTTCTATTAACGCATCAATGTCATGTTTGTTTTCTCTACTAATGACTCTGATGCATAATTGCTGAATCACAAACCCTTTTCCATCAACTTGGTTGTGCAATATTCAGATGTTGATAGTATCAACCTCCATAACAGTCAAGATAATATACGGTAATTATCTGTCTGTTAGCTTAAAGCGTCTACAGCACAAACGATGGTCAATGTATCTACAAGATTCTCACAGTCCACGATTGCTCACCGGTTGTTATAATTATGTCTTTGTCTAAATATGTATGAGTTCTATATCGTCAGTTTTGATGCTGCTAGTCACTTTCAAGTGTTTGTCAAAATCAGAATAAAACACGATCTGGAATAACAACAATGGACAATCACGACAATGGACCCTTCAGATGCTAATCTGAAAAAAACTAGGAATACTAATTCCCAAAGAATCTTAATAATACATGTACATGCTCCCGGCGTTTTTTAATCGATTTGATTTAATCGATTCCAACAATGTAATTTCGCAATATACACTTCTAAAGCAACAATCAATAAAGCTAGGTCATAATGAGTACACAAACGCCAAACGTTTACGTTACGATTTGCGCGATTCCAGACAAGTTAACCAAACCTAACAACACAAACAGTACCAACCGCATGGTATGAATTTTAAGATTGATGTTTTAAGTTTTGATGCTTTCATATATTCGAAGGAAAACATTAAGAGAAAACATAATATTAAAATAAATTATTAACATCTTAACAATAACATGATAGTATAGTTACAAATGTTGAGTGATTAAATTACGTTTTGTCTAATAAATATAGTAGGTGAGGTGAAATTGGTTTTAACGTCGCGTTCAAGATTGTTGCACTTATATTGCGACGTGCATGTACGTGTGTGTGTTTGTGTGGCTGATTGTACTAGTCCGGGCTGATGCCGATTTATAGTGCCAGCTCACTGAGATACCATCCCGCAGTTTAACAAGAATACCAAACTCAGACAAAGTGTACTGACTCTGAGCGGACCAGTCCTGGTTTTAGCCCCTTAATGCCGAGGGCCAGACAAGGTAACAACAAGTACCATTTTTAAACGTCTTTCGGTATGACGCGGCCGGGGATCGAACCCCGGACCTCCCGCTCTCCGGGCCGACGCTTTACCACTAGACCACGGATGCGGTCAATAAATATAGTAGCTTTGATTACCTTTTGTTTACTCCCCTTATCGACCTGCCCTGCATATCAGATGAGGTACAAATACCGAAGAATCCCATGGGGGACCGGGAGGGATACGTCTCCAGCACCACATTGAAAACCGTTAGAGGCGATTAACGTGGGGACATGTGAGGATTCCGGGACAGAATTTGTCCCAAGCAACCTATGCTTTAATGCGACTCAATAGATTGCTTGGTCAGACTCGGTGACTCGGCATGATGGCGTGTCAGCGTACCCCGACGACGTTTTTTTCATAACATTAATTACTGGTCTGGCCCAAACTCAATTATTTACAGGCCTTCGTTGTTCAGCTGGAATATTGCTGAGTGCGGCGTTAAACAAATAAAAAACACATTAAACAGGAACGATTTCAAAGTCTATTAAGATTTGTGGAATCCTTCAACCCAAAATGTGACTGTGACCAATAAGTCGATCGTAACTACCATACACTAACACAGGTCAAAGACAATCGTTGCGCCAAGAACGCTTTGTGGAACGGGGCCCTGGATGTTTCGATGGCAGAAGTTTACGGTTCGTGTTCAGCAGGCAGCCTGGAGTGGGTTGGTGTTACGCGGGTACATCGCTGATATCAAGAGAGTTGCTTCGGGAGCGGCCTGGAGTGTGTTGGTGTCATGCCGTACAGTTCTGATATCAAGAGAGTTGCTTCGGGAGCGGCCTGGAGTGGGTTGGTGTCACGCCGTACAGTGCTGATATCAAGAGAGTTGCTTCGGGAGCGGCCTGGAGTGGGTTGGTGTCACGCCGTACAGTGCTGATATCAAGAGAGTTGCTTCGGGAGCGGCCTGGAGTGGGTTGCTGTTACGCCGTACAGTGCTCATATCAAGAGAGTTGCTTCGGGAGCGGCCTGGAGTGGGTTGGTGTTACGCGGGTACATCGCTGATATCAAGAGAGTTGCTTCGGGAGCGGCCTGGAGTGGGTTGGTGTTACGCCGTACAGTGCTGATATCAAGAGAGTTGCTTCGGGAGCGGCCTGGAGTGGGTTGGTGTTACGCGGGTACAGTACTGATATCAAGAGAGTTGCTTCGGGAGCGGCCTGGAGTGGGTTGGTGTTACGCCGTACAGTGTTGATATCAAGAGAGTTGCTTCGGGAGCAGCCAGGAGTGGGTTGGCGTTACGCGGGTACACTGCTGATATCAAGAGAGTTGCTTCGGGAGCGGCCTGGAGTGGGTTGGTGTTACGCGGGTACAGTGCTGATATCAAGAGAGTTGCTTCGGGAGCGGCCTGGAGTGGGTTGGTGTTACGCGGGTACACTGCTGATATCAAGAGAGTTGCTTCGGGAGCGGCCTGGAGTGGGTTGGTGTTACCCCGTACAGTGATGATATCAAGAGAGTTGCTTCGGGAGCGGCCTGGAGTGGGTTCGTGTAACGCCGTACAGTGCTGATATCAAGAGAGTTGCTTCGGGAGCGGCCTGGAGTGGGTTGCTGTCACGCCGTACAGTGCTGATATGAAGAGAGTTGCTTCGGGAGCGGCCTGGAGTGGGTTGGTTCACGCCGTACAGTGCTGATATCAAGAGAGTTGCTTCGGGAGCAGCCTGGAGTGGGTTGGTGTCACGCCGTACAGTGCTGATATCAAGAGAGTTGCTTCGGGAGCGGCCTGGAGTGGGTTGGTGTTACGCGGGTACAGTGCTGATATCAAGAGAGTTGCTTCGGGAGCGGCCTGGAGTGGGTTCGTGTCACGCCGTACAGTGCTGATATCAAGAGAGTTGCTACGGGAGCGGCCTGGAGTGGGTTGGTGTCACGCCGTACAGTGCTGATATCAAGAGAGTTTCTTCGGGAGCGGCCTGGAGTGGGTTGGTGTGACGCCGTACAGTGCTGATATCAAGAGAGTTGCTTCAGGAGCGGCCTGGAGTGGGTTGGTGTCACGCCGTACAGTGCTGATATCAAGAGAGTTGCTTCGGGAGCAGCCTGGAGTGGGTTGGTGTCACGCCGTACAGTGCTGATATCAAGAGAGTTGCTTCGGGAGCGGCCTGGAGTGGGTTGGTGTCACGCGGGTACAGTGCTGATATCAAGAGAGTTGTGTCGGGAGCGGCCTGGAGTGGGTTGCTGTTACGCCGTACAGTGCTCATATCAAGAGAGTTGCTTTGGGAGCGGCCTGGAGTGGGTTGGTGTTACGCGGGTACATCGCTGATATCAAGAGAGTTGCTTCGGGAGCGGCCTGGAGTGGGTTGGTGTTACGCCGTACAGTGCTGATATCAAGAGAGTTGCTTCGGGAGCGGCCTGGAGTGGGTTGGTGTCACGCCGTACAGTGCTGATATCAAGAGAGTTGCTTCGGGAGCGGCCTGGAGTGGGTTGGTGTTACGCCGTACAGTGCTCATATCAAGAGAGTTGCTTCGGGAGCGGCCTGGAGTGGGTTGGTGTGACGCGGGTACACTGCTGATATCAAGAGAGTTGCTTCGGGAGCGGCCTGGAGTGGGTTGGTGTGACGCCATACAGTGCTGATATCAAGAGAGTTGCTTCGGGAGCAGCCTGGAGTGGGTTGGTGTGACGCGGGTACACTGCTGATATCAAGAGAGTTGCTTCGGGAGCGGCCTGGAGTGGGTTGGTGTTACGCGGGTACACTGCTGATATCAAGAGAGTTGCTTCGGGAGCGGCCTGGAGTGGGTTGGTGTTACGCGGGTACACTGCTGATATCAAGAGAGTTGCTTCGGGAGCGGCCTGGAGTGGGTTCGTGTAACGCCGTACAGTGCTGATATCAAGAGAGTTGCTTCAGGAGCGGCCTGGAGTGGGTTGGTGTCACGCCGTAAAGTGCTGATATCAAGAGAGTTGCTTCGGGAGCGGCCTGGAGTGGGTTGGTGTCACGCCGTACAGTGCTGATATCAAGAGAGTTGCTTCGGGAGCGGCCTGGAGTGGGTTGGTGTCACGCCGTACAGTGCTGATATCAAGAGAGTTGCTTCGGGAGCGGCCTGGAGTGGGTTGCTGTTACGCCGTACAATGTTGATATGAAGAGAGTTGCTTCGGGAGCGGCCTGGAGTGGGTTGGTGTTACGCGGGTACAGTGCTGGTATCAAGAGAGTTGCTTCGGGAGCAGCCTGGAGTGGGTTGGTGTTACGCCGTACAGTGCGGATATCAAGAGAGTTGCTTCGGGAGCGGCCTGGAGTGGGTTGGTGTTCCGCCGTACAGTGCTGATATCAAGAGAGTTGCTTCGGGAGCGGCCAGGAGTGGGTTGGTGTTACGCGGGTACAGTGCTGATATCAAGAGAGTTGCGTCGGGAGCGGCCTGGAGTGGGTTGGTGTTACGCGGGTACACTGCTGATATCAAGAGAGTTGCTTCGGGAGCGGCCTGGAGTGGATTGGTGTTACGCCGTAAAGTGCTGATATCAAGAGAGTTGCTTCGGGAGCGGCCTGGAGTGGGTTGGTGTTACGCGGGTACAGTGCTGATATCAAGAGAGTTGCTTCGGGAGCGGCCTGGAGTGGGTTGGTGTTCCGCCGTACAGTGCTGATATCAAGAGAGTTGCTTCGGGAGCGGCCAGGAGTGGGTTGGTGTTACGCGGGTACAGTGCTGATATCAAGAGAGTTGCTTCGGGAGCGGCCTGGAGTGGGTTGGTGTTACGCGGGTACACTACTGATATCAAGAGAGTTGCTTCGGGAGCGGCCTGGAGTGGATTGGTGTTACGCCGTAAAGTGCTGATATCAAGAGAGTTGCTTCGGGAGCGGCCTGGAGTGGGTTGGTGTTACGCGGGTACACTGCTGATATCAAGAGAGTTGCTTCGGGAGCGGCCTGGAGTGGGTTGGTGTTACGCCGTACAGTGCTGATATGAAGAGAGTTGCTTCGGGAGCAGCCTGGAGTGGGTTGGTGTTACGCCGTACAGTGCTGATATCAAGAGAGTTGCTTCGGGAGCGGCCTGGAGTGGGTTGGTCTCACGCCGTACACTGCTGATATCAAGAGAGTTGCGTCGGGAGCGGCCTGGAGTGGGTTGGTGTCACGCGGGTACAGTGCTGATATCAAGAGAGTTGCTTCGGGAGCGGCCTGGAGTGGGTTGGTGTCACGCCGTACAGTGCTGATATCAAGAGAGTTGCTTCGGGAGCGGCCTGGAGTGGGTTGGTGTTACGCCGTTCATTGCTGATATCAAGAGAGTTGCTTCGGGAGCGGCCTGGAGTGGGTTGGTGTCACGCCGTACAGTGCTGATATCAAGAGAGTTGCTTCGGGAGCGGCCTGGAGTGGGTTGGTGTCACGCGGGTACAGTGCTGATATCAAGAGAGTTGCTTCGGGAGCGGCCTGGAGTGGGTTGGTGTTACGCCGTACATTGCTGATATCAAGAGAGTTGCTTCGGGAGCGGCCGGGAGTGGGTTGGTGTTACGCCGTACAGTGCTGATATCAAGAGAGTTGCTTCGGGAGCGGCCTGGAGTGGGTTGGTGTTACGCGGGTACATCGCTGATATCAAGAGAGTTGCTTCGGGAGCGGCCCGGAGTGGGTTGGTGTTACGCCGTACAGTGCTGATATCAAGAGAGTTGCTTCGGGAGCGGCCTGGAGTGGGTTGGTGTTACGCAGGTACATCGCTGATATCAAGAGAGTTGCTTCGGGAGCGGCCTGGAGTGGGTTGGTGTCACGCCGTACAGTGCTGATGTCAAGGGAACTTGTGTTTTGGGAGCGGCCGGGAGTCGGTGGGCGGGGGATGGGGGGTTTTGATGGGGGTGGGGGATTGATTGGGACGGAGGGGCACTGTCACGCCGTACAGTGCTGATTTCAAAGGGGACTGGTGTTGAGTGGACGGCTAGGAGTGGGTGTCACGCTGTACAGTGATGATGTCAAAGGGACCTATGTCGGAAGTGGATTGGTGTTTCAGTGTACCTTAAATGAGTGTTTGCCATGTCTTTTACTAATTAACGATGTAATATAAATGATTTCAGGTAATTAATATGATGATTTGAATGCAACTTTTGTTTTTACATTACGTTAACATAATGTTATGCTCTGTTATTAAATGTTATAAAATGCAACCTTATCTTCTGTTGTTGACACTCAATAAATGTGTTCATACCTGCTACGGTCTGGTTGAGTCGTTTTGAAGGCTGTAGACAGGCGGAATGACCACGATGAACACTAAATTTGTCTTTACACACTCGTGGAGGTTTCGGTGTGGTTGTGATCGTGGTTGTGATCGTGGTTGTAGGAGTTCCTGGCTTACGTTCATTATAATCGTATCTGTAGTCACCATCTGAAGATTGAAAAGGGGCATATTTGCCTTCACATATTTATGAACCTGAAGTATGCCATATTGTATGTAAGTTACCTGTGGGATTGAGAGCGTGTTGTCTTAGCTTTTCAGGCGACAAGAAACATCCGTAGTTGTGCATTTGCACGTGCACATATACCACTAAACGTTTACAGTTGTAGAAGTATTTTATCATACACTAAACTTATTATTTAATATGTAGATCTGCATACACAAATGTATATAGTTTGACATGTATGTGTCAAAATCAACTATTGCAAACACTATATCCTGATAAGTAGCAATTCCATCATTTAATACTTGGTCAAAAACTATGCCCAGCTCCAATGGTCAAATATGGTACAATATGACACAGACATGGTAAAATATGACACGGACAGGGTAAAATATGACACGGACATGAACAAATATGACACAGACATGGTACAATGTGACACGGACAGGGTAAAGTAATACACGGGCATGATACAATATGGCACGGACAGGGTAAAGTAATACACGGGCATGATACAATATGACACGGATAGGGTAAAGTAATACACGGGCATGATACAATATGGCACGGACGGGGTAAAATATTACGCGGGCATAATAGAATATGACACGGACATGGTAAAATAGTACACGGGCATGATACAATATGACACGGACAGGGTAAAATATGAGACGGGCATGGTACAATATGACACGGACATGGTAAAATACGACACGGGCATGATCAAATATGACACGGACAGGGTGAAAAATTACACAGAAGATTCATGATAGAATATGACACGGATATGGTCGTTGCTTGCAATGTCCAACGTCATTCATTGATGCCCCTGGATCTCCAAATGTCGTATTATAAGCCAGACTATGATTGATCACCCTGGTGTAGTGCATATGATGGCCTTGACGTAGGTAGTTGTGACGTATTTTATATTTGAATGTGGTAAACTGCTTTTCCTCTTGATACCTGAATTTTTCAAAATGAAACGAAACAATTAACTTTTTTGTTCTGGTCGGAAACCATAAACGGTTGAAAATGGCCGTTGTGACTGCAACCTGGCCATGGGCATGTCAATGTACCCTTCTGAATTGGAATCGCCAATATAGGATATCGTGGTTATTGTTCGAGCTTATGCACGGTTTACGTTAACATAACGTTTACAATTGACCATGCGATTAATTGACGTATAACTTGAGGCATATAGTATGACCCAAAGTGCAGTATTCGTGAAACGTTCTTGGGAAAGTGGTCATTTATTGGTCAAAGGTTTCGCTAATTGTCTTACAGGTTGCACGAAGTAGCTGTAAGGAATCACTGGTCGTTGGTTCAAAGTTCAGAATAATCCCATTATTATACTTAGTCTGTCAGCATCATATCTACGATCATGGGTTTCGCAAAAGACGTACATGTATGTGTCTACGACCTGACTTAAGCGAACACTGTTCAGAGCGGTATCAGACCGTAACTTATTCACTCGGCATGATTACACCTATTTTGTTGATACCTTTTGCATTTATTCAATGCTACTCACATGGACACTTGTGGCACAGCTTAGGGCAGCGGTCTGGTACATCAGCTATTCTGGGACAGTTTTCTTCCACGTAGGCGGTATGGTTGCAGTAATATGGCTCTTTAACAGTTGCATTTTCGCAGTCAACTGAAATATAGCAAAATGATCATGCTTTAGCATGTACTCATTTATTCATTCAAATTGTGGTCAGGATATATACATTGCAGAGCATATTGTGTTTTTTCTTGCAAAATATCAAGAAGTTATGAGAGGAGATGAATAGGTCTGATAATGAAAGACAAATGCATACGTTCTATTTATATGTATTTTCTTACTGATGTCCATAATAATCTTACTACGAACACCATTGGGTCATGGCGGCAGACTGAAAGTACATATGTAGTACCGGTATAAAGTCTCATGTCTCACGAGTAACGGAACATGTGTCAAATATGTTTGCCAAACTAGTTTAACAATAATTATTGTAAACGATTAATGAATACAAATATAGTTAAAAATTTCACCTCCTTGTGAAATGATTTTAGAGAAGGTTGTCCATGGTATTTGTAAATGCATATTAATATTTAGAAGGCCAATGGGAGTCCAGATGTTTGAGGTGTCGCAATTCGTTGTAACGATTTGCGTCCCTTATAATTAGCTGTGCCATGAGCTGCCAATCTTGTGTTTGAATCCCATATTCTCAAAGAGTATGACACTTTTCTCTCGACATCACGTCTATTTGTTCGAGAGCATGGCTGAAGTGGTAAATTTATGCGACCGGAATCACTACTGACTTTCTTCCAACATATTGCAGATACTACGTCATATTACTGTAAGACCGTTATAAGGTGTAAAACCTAACGCACGCTGTCCTACAAGGAAACGTAATTGAAAAACAAAACGTTGGCAGTAACATTCATAACGTTTTGTGGAGACGCGATCACAATTAAAAACTGCGCACTTTGTTTTTCTAGGTATAGGTTGATCACAAATGTTTCCTGGCTCAATGTCAGCACCATACGCGTCCTCGAGGGTTTCACCGAAATGGTAAACGTCTGAGACCTGCATTACTTCGGGCTTTCCTCCAACATTAAGCTGACACGCCGCGTTATAACTGGAATATTGTTAAAAGCGGCGTTAAACCTCACTCACACACAAACACACACACATATAACTGGAATACTCTTAAAAGCGGCGTTAAACACAACTCATTCACTTACGCACTCCTGGCTCCTGGCTATGCTGATGCATACTTCTCACAATACAACGAATCGTGGTTGATTTCGCTAATATTAAGGAACTATAACATACTTACGTTTACATACATCGCCTACGTAGACGTTATCTACGATGCATTTGCAGGCACACGTTGTTCTGTTAAGCGTACCGCCATTTTCACACGCTTTCCCTCCACAATCTGGAAGCAGAATGTTACGCGTTTCACGAATGGGATTTTACGCTGCTTCAGCAATAACTGCAAATGTTTTATAACAACTGAACAACTGAGGCAATGGCGGCACCATGATCGCGTCAATCAAATTAATAAATATGGCAGCTTCAGATAAATCAACGGAATGTCATGCTATCTACGGGTTCAAATCCGGAGCGTAAAATAGAAGGATTTGTGTAACCTATTTTGTTGTGGAAATTAAATGATGTCACTGAGGTATAGTCACACAAACGAGCGTAAACTGGGCGAATAGTTGCAGGGAGAGCCTTGAAGACGCCCCCCGCCCTGGAAGGCCTTTACGTCAGCAACACCAGAAATGACTCAGATAATTCACGATATGGTGATGACCGGACGGCAAATAACTAAACATCATGTTGCTAGATCTGTTGACACTTTGTAGGGGAGAGTACATGCAATTATCACAGAAACTTTGGCAATGAAGAAAGTATCAGCTCCTTTGGATTCTATAACGTCTGACATGCGATCAAAAACGCACTGAGCACAACATGTCTCGTGATAATGTAGCTCTGTTTGAAGAACGTATCGATCAACCTTCGTTGTTAATGAGAAAGCTCAATGCAAGTTTGCCTGGTTACTGTGTAAAGGAGGTATGTGTATGTGTGTGTGTGTGTGGGGGGGGGGGGGGGGGACATTTATCACATCATCGTTTATATGATGTACTATATTTGCAGGATGTCAGAATGTTTGTGCAAAACACAGTGGTGGAAGATGGTCATAACCTTAATAAAACCTATTTTGGCAAAAGTGCAGGTACTGTAATTTATTTAATACTGGTATTCGATCAACCCATAACCGACACAGACATCTGTTACCAAGCAACGATAAATCCGATAATAACAATCATACGTGGTAAGTATACGAATGTCAAGGAACCAAAAAATGACTTGAAGAGGAGATTCTTTTCCAGGACAGCGCATACCACAAAGATGGTTGTCTGTTTGTTTGCACTCGGCTGCAGGCGTCCCTTTCTTGTACGGTATCTTATATCCACCTCTGTTGCCCCTAGAACGCATCAGATTAAATGACAAGTTACCTTCGTATAAATGTATATATTCATATGTAAATCTTCCTGACTATCCGACAAACATATCTGATAACAAGATTAAGATGATCAATGCTTAGCTCTACATTGTGTGGACATGTTTCCTTTAATTGAAAACACTTGTTGAAATTTTTTGTGCTTAGCGAATGAATCCAGTTGGACTAGTTTCGTATTTATATAATTCGGCGGAAGTTTATGAAAGAGTAAACATTGACAATGACCATAATCGAGGGGACGGATGCGAGGACTCGAGAATCGTACCCCCAGGGTGGTCCGGTCAGACTCCCAAAGGTGTCCGGCCCGAGACTCCGCATTTTGACAAGAATTGAGAGTAATCATTCGTTTTATTCTACAGAAATTCACATTAAAGTTTATGAACCCTTATACCCTTTTCACATAAAAACCTGCTTTGCGAACGGTGGAATGTTATTACCAGACGCCATATTGTTTCCTAGCAGGCGATAGTCAATATTCACCACATGATAGGTCAATACTGATCATGTGACAAGGCAATATTCGGGGCCGGTGCCAATCACGTGATTTGGGGTCTACAATGTTTCGCCACGTGGTACAGATTAAGCAATGGAATTGCAAGATTCGTAATACAGGTATAACAATAAGATAGAATGACTGCCATTATTACATCACGTTTAAACTGTTTACTATACCTACTACAAAAGTGGAAAGCCTCAGAGAACAGGCGGCGGTCGGGTAGCCTTGTGGTTAAAGCGTTCGGTCGTCACGCCGAAGACCCGGGTTCGATTCCCGACATGGGTACAATGTGTGAAGCCCATTTCTGGTGTTCCCCGATGTGATAGTGCTGGGATATTGCTAAAGCGGCGTAAAACCTCACTCACTCACTCAGAGAACAGAATCATTCTGCCAACATGAAACAACACTGGTATACTCGGCAGATCTTGTCCTTGCATTCATTTTGGTTTTTAGTGCTATATATGGGCGACATTGTCTTGCCGGGACGTGTTCAGTTGGTGGCATACTTACGCAGGGGCATAGTTGCAGACATAGAACAGCGTAGTGTTGCATTTGGCGAATCCACATCCTACTCTTGTTGTGTCCGCCCATACCAGCTGTAAAATACATATATCGCTTTAAGCATGTCATATGTAACAGTTGTATTTAAACAGACTGTGTTCGAGTCCGAATTAGTTTGCCAGTTGGTTATTCTTAGATACACGTTATCGTACGTATCCGCAGATTACAGCCTGAATCCGTAACCGATAAACACCATATCGAATTACATGACGCCTGATACTTGAATGCATCGTACGGTTACATATAAACTGTTTGTTTTCGTTGTTTGTTTGTTGTTTAACGCCTCACTCAGCAATATTCCAGCTATATGACGTCGGTCTGTACATAATCGAGACACGATGACATGCTTCAACCAAGTCAGTGAGCCTGAGCACCCTATCCCGTTAGTCGCCTCTTACGACAAGCATAGTCGCCTGGTAAGGCAAGCATGGGTTGCTGAAGATCTATTCTACCCCGGATCTTCACGGGTTTATAGCCTGTTTCTGTACATAGTTGTGTACAAAGGTTATGCATTTCAATATTCTTAATTGTTTTTACGTCAATAACGAAAAGTAAATCAAAACAGTGAGTGAGGAAATCACAACTCGAGCCCACCAGCTTTGATGAGGTGGAGACAAACCAAGATTAATTTGCAGGGTTCCAACTCAGCCTTGGTAACAAGCATGACCATAATGACTAAATCAGTGCTGTTCCTGAATAAAAGGACCGCCTACGTGGTGTAGTGGATAGATCGTCTGCCCGCAGACCGGAAGGTCGTTTGTTCGATTCTCATACTAAAAGATGGTGCTTTTTGTTACCCTGCCTGGCGCTGGGCATTAAGGGGGATAAAACAAGGACTAGTCGGCTCGGAGTACATTGTGCCTGAGAAGGACGTCCTTGTTAAACTACGGCATGGTATCTCAGTGAGCTAGCACTATAAAACCGGCATAAGTCCGAGCTAGTTTTGGCAGCCAAACGCACACCTCACCTTACCATAAATAAAGGCGACAAAGTTGGCTGTGTTAAATACGTGCTGATGTTGGGGGTGGGGTCTATAACCTTATAGTTTACCTGTGTGTAATGCCCCACTTCGTCTGGTACGTTAGTTCCGTTATACGTGAAGGACTTGACCTCCGAGTGCCAGCCTGCTATAGATTGTGTCCAGTTACGGTAGTCCATTGCCCAATTTTGGCCAATCTGGTACACCCCTGATAGCATTAAATATATACAAATAACATGGATTATATATGTAACTGATATAGTGGTTAACTTAGTTATAAATATTTTAGCACCTCTCCGAACAGTGTATGAGTTATATCATGGAGTAATCTTAATGTAGGCGGAAAGTTCATGTATGTAGTCGTTCATTAACGACCATTTTGGGCACGGGTACGGTGCTGAAAGACTGTGGATCATACTCGGGGCAGAGGAAAAGACAAGAGATTATACAGCATCAAAGAATTTAAGTTTCATTGAATGAGAGACTGAGTGAGTTTGAAATTAACGCCGCTGTGAAAAGTATTTCAGTTATATAACGGCTTGTCAGCTTGACATGGGAGGACAGCCGAAAGAAACAAACTTCATTGACGTTCAGAACTTTCGAAAAACCATCGAGCCCGGGTATGGTGCTGACAAAACAAGAGTGAGTGAGTGTGAGCCAGCGAGCGAGTTTTAATTACGCTTTTAACAGTAATCAAGTTATATCACGGCGTGTCAGTTTAATATGGGAAGAAAGCCCGAAGTGCTATATCTCATACCTTTACCACTTTTGTGAAACACACGAGCACGGATATCGTGCTGACAAACCTATCCTAGCATATCCTATCACTGATTAGGGACCTGGACAATTAAATATGACGCCGTGATATATAAACCACCATGACATCCGTGTCTACACGTGTTAAAGGAAGATGGTTGTATTAAATATACATACATTGTATTCATAACAATAGACATATATATGTTAATGTTGCATTTTTTGATTCAAACATGTTTTGTATTCATGTAAGATATAAATAATAGCAGTTTATGTTATTCTGTTTTATGTTTCACCATGAAATATCATGTAAGAATTACTGTCCAATGTGTTTGACGTACCGGGGATGTTTCTGTTGCCCATGGCGTCATGTTCCACCTTGCAGTTGCTGGCCCAGGCCTGAGCTATGAGCGCCAGTTCCTCGTTCCAGTACTAGAACACAGCACCACGGTTTCAGTTGCAACAGAAAAGCGTAAATGATCATTTTGGCTCATAAGAGAATAATCATAAATGTGTTAATATTCTTGTAATGTTTCTTACTTACTTACCAATGTATAACCCACAATGAAGAACAAAATTAATGAAATGGTTCAATCTATGTTTATTTCATTTAATCAGTTATATTGTATACGCTTCATGTAATCATCCTAGATTATGTAGCATAATGAATGCTATTCATCACAAATGCACGTACGGTGTGAATGACCAAACATGTACAAGGTTATACCAGCAACACAGAAAGGCTTTTTTATTAATCCTGTCTTTACAACGACTTAAACACATTTCGAGTGACATGACCCATACATATTGAGACTTCGACTACAACTCAACATTTGTTATTGTGTTCTGCAATAAAATTGCAGATAACTTGCGAATGATCAGTATCTCCGCGGATTTCTGCGAAATATGTTTTATTGTTTTATTGCACTAATTGTGATTTTTCTTGCACTATCACGCCGTAAACACGGGCTATTACAATACTTTCAAGTACATCTACAATGTACAATGTGCACTGGGATGCTGCACTGTGAATGAATTGCAGATTCATGTAAGCTGCACCAGAGGTCGATTAATAATCATTTAAAATATTTTTGTCGAGGTATATTAACATCTATGTTGAGGTTTACAGACCACTTTCAGCATATTGGTTGCTGTCGGTTGAACGATGCTTCTATATCGGTTGTGTTCGTCAATGATTATTTTCTTTTCATCTTCACTTACACCTGAAATCAATCAAATAATGATTTGTTGTATATTAACTCCGACAGTGTATTCCTTTTTCATTTATTCCGTATGATATAATAATACTCAACATACATGTGCAGACTGGTATACATTCAAACAAACAAAATATAATATTTATGTGTTCAAGCTGTCAATCATACTTTCAAAACGAAGGATTCATTCTGTGGCAATTCATTGTTTATATGTAGTAGTTTGTATAAAAATATATAGAAATGGTAAATAAATAACAGCACTGCTTAAGTACCAGGCGCTCAATCCCACCGCTGAGCATGTCCGACCCTACCGATAGCACTAGTCGGGGCGAGATGGCAATCCTATTTATGAGAACAAATAACGCGACCGTCATGCATATCGTAATACACTTATGTAAACTGCGATTAGATAATGCCCTGCAACACTGACATACCTGACACTTTAACAAGCGGTGAGGGCTTGAGACATGCTGTGTGTCCGGGTACTTGTTTCAGCCTTTCAGTACATGCTGTTGCCTGAAATGATAAATAAATAAATAAGTAAGTAAGTAAGTAAGTGAGTGAGTGAGTGAGTGAGTGAGTGAGTGAGTGAGTGAGTGAGTGAGTGAGTGAGTGAGTGAATGAATGAATGAATGAATGAATGAATGAATGAATAAATGAATAAAAAAAATAAATAAATAAATAAATAAATAAATAATAGGCTATTTATATTTGCACATATATCCATATTACTCAGGGGCATGCTCAAAACGCTATTATTACCCCGATCACCGAATCAGTGTGCACTCAACAATCATTCTCAGTTCAGCTCCCTGGGGAGTATGCAACCCAAGCTACCCGTTAGGAGCTAGAAGGTTAACATCCATCTTATCCTACCGGGTACCCATTCACTGCTGGGGGAACAGAGACACATTTCGAACAAAGTCACCCGCCCTTCAGTGTGGGGCAGGACCGAAGACCAATAAACTCTCAGGAGCCAAGCTGCCGGAACGCGGTCACCCATCCAAGTACTCTCCACGACCGACATTTGCTTAACTTCACCTGATTTGTGACCGGTGCCACCACGGAATTGAAAAGCGAATTGAATTCACAATTGAAGCAAACGTCTCATCAGCCTAATGTCTAACTGTCTGAGATTCAGTGACCAAAGGCACCGAGGGTTGCTGTTCATAGTTGTGTCCCTCAGTCGTTGTTCAAGGAGACTCTTGATCGTGGGTTCGAATCCGATATTCACCCCGATTATGATCCTTGGTCTCCCATCACCGTACCCGTGCTCGTGGGATTCACGTGTGTCAAAAACAACCTTGACCTGCGTCACTGTTGGTTTCCTCCTGTTTTCTCACAATCATATAACTAAATACTGTTCAAGAATACTTACAGTTGGTGTGCTTTCAGGTCCTGCAAAAGAGGCAACAATATATATATGGTATATATGGGTTACATTTAACAAGGTCAGATTATCAATGGGCAATACGATGCCACAGAAATGCGTCAGCTAAGGCACAAGAAATCTCAGCTAAAAGCAGAGTCGATTGGACGATTCCGACTGTATCAAAAGCATGGGTTTTTTTAATCAATATCAAATAGTGATGATACCAGGCATTCTCGAAAAGGTGAGAGTATCCTACCCGACAGGTGGCATCCATCACAAACACATGCAAAGGCATTTAAATTATTATGGAGGAGTGCTCCGTTCAGGTGGATGCAGTTGCTGATTGTGGCACTGATTTACTTCCTTGTACTGATCCAGCACCCTCTGAATCTCTACCTTAAACTCACATCACACATGCATGGTGGAGATTTTGTCACAAACAAGGAACCTTTCGATTTCCCCTCGTCAATAACACTCTTTGTATGAGATGTCCATGTCCGGCAAAATGCATAAAATGTTAGTTCAGGAGTTGTTTCATTAGAGACGCGGATCAGCTGTGATACGACCGCCTCCGTGGTCTAGCGGTAGCGCGTCCGTCCGTAGAGCGGAAGGTCCGTGGTTCGACCGCCGACCGCGTCATGCCAAAAGACGTGAAAGTTAAAAGATGGCTCTTCTTGTTACCCTGCTTGGCACTCAGCATTAAGGGGTTTAAACAAGGACTGGTCGGCTCGGAGTCAGTGTACTGTGTTTGAATGGGGTATTCATCAAGTCCCATCTCAACAATCTTTTAACGTCTTTTGGTATCACGGGGCCGCGGATCAAACCACCGACCGACCGAGTGGACACTCTCTCCACTAGGCCACGGATGCGGTCGCTTCTAATTATAAGTGTGCTACATGGTCCCGGCGCGGAATATCCTACACAATAGACTTGAATCAGACATGAAACTTGACTGATCTAGACTCGCGTGTGAAGCACTGAGTGATTTAACATCAATTTACATTTTGCCTGGACTGACATGTCTGTGCATAGTCAGTCGCGAAACGAACGTAAAATCGCATAACGAACACGCAGATTTCGGTCGACTGCAGGATTTGCAAAGCATGTGTATCGTCAACAGATATTTTGCAAATCTTTTCATGTTTTTAATCAAGGTCCTCACAGGATTTGGTGCACTTTGCGGGGAAAGACCCGTTTTATAACAATATTGATCCTTATTAGCGATCAGATTGTCTTAACTGTGCGTCGCCACTTTGTTTGAAGCAAATGCAAGTGATATGAGAAATTGAATCTGATTGGTCAGTTGGAGGGACATAGAAGTGACATAACTCGTAATAGCCACTGGTGACGCTATGATCGAGCCAGGATATGCCAGGCCAGTTCGGCATGGGTGGAAACTTGACTTAATAGTCAGATGGCGCCCTTGCCTCGGGAGGATGGATACAATGTGTTGTTATCATTTATCATTACAACGTTGTAAGTACATTACGTCAACGCCAGAGAATAGCCAGTCTCGATTATGGGACGAAACAGATTCCATTGGCCGTAAAAGCACAAAAGTGGTGAAAACTACATGAATGCATCACTGAAAATTAGTGATGACACCAGGTGTCCTATCCTAACAAATTCTATATCTACAAGTAGACGCAGATAGTTAAAGGTCTGTACTTCGTCGTACCAAACGACGTTATGAGACGGTACTTGTTAGCTCAGGATTAAAGGGATACGCCAAGGAAAGGTCAGTTCGCAGTCAGTACACTGTGGCCGTTAGCGGTATCGATGTTAAACCATAGCACGGCATAGCAGTGGGCTAGCACTATAAAGCAGGCTTTAGTCCGGACAAGTGAGTGAGTAAGTATGGTTTTACGCCGCTTTTAGCAATATTCCAGCAATATCACGGCGGGGGACACCAGAAATGGGCTTCACACATTGTACCCATGTCGGGAATCGAAACCGGGTCTTCGGCGTGACGAGCGAACGCTTTAACCACTAGGCTACCCGACCGCCCCTAAGTCCGGACTAGTACATGAGCTAAACATACATGCGTGTATGCATAATCTTGAACGCGCAGTTAAACCCTTTTCACCTCACCACACGTGGACGCTGACATCATGTCAGTAGATAGCGTACCACGCAGAAACAGTAAAACCAGTCGGCGTCGACGGACTTGATAACCTGACTCCGTGAGGTCGTGTGACGTACGCACTGAAAACCACTTAAAACATAGATATCGCCCATCCACGATACTAAAAATCCTCTTATGAGCGTACCTATCGTACACCGACATACGTCATGATGCCGACCTACAAGGCCACGCCTTAATTACCTTGTGGCACTTAGGTCAAATGACGCAATTACATTCCAATATCTGGCTATAATGTCAAGATCCCTTCACACGAATAGTTTAAACAGGTTAGTCTATTTGGTTCAGGTTAACGGATATTCGAAAACTTCTGGCAAATATGCTCAAGGCATGCCTAGCCCTTGTTCCCTAAGATATATATGCGACTGATTATTACACAGATTATACAGCAGCATTAATACAGAATGAGTGAGTGAGTATGGTTTTACGCCGCTTTTAGCAATATTCCAGCAATATCACGGCGGGGGACATCAGAAGTGGGCTTCACACATTGTATTAATACAGAACCCTGGCTGTTCCTTAACGCACAGGTCATATAAGTTGTTTTTAAAACATATCAAACCAAATAGAATTTTCTGTAAACTTTATGGTCTATTTCTTTGATACTTCAGAGTAAGTGAGTGAGATGGGTTTAACGCCGCTTTTAACCGTATTACAGTTATTTCACGGCGTGTGTGAGGAAAGCCTAAAATAATGCAGGTCTCAGACGCTCACCACTTCGGTGAAACACACGAGCACGGGTATGGTGTTGACAAACCTGGAAACATAATTGGGGCGAACCGGGATTCAAACCTACAATCATAGGTTTCGGGCGTGCCCAAGGGACATAACTCTGCACAGCGAATCGCGGCGCCTTATACGATTGCCCACTTATACTTTAGAGTTTCTCCCGCATGTATGTTTGGGTGAATGCTACACTGTGGTATTAATCAATGTAAACAGTTTGATAACACAAAGTAGAGGATCATGATATATAAATATTCATACCAAGTATCAGAAGAAAGAAAGGTGTTGACAACAAACACGCTATGCAATAACGTTTATGTCTGTAAAACGTATCACCAAAACACATCCTACAATTTGCACGTGCGTTGGGTGTCATTCCTGATTTTGACACTTTCACGGAAGGTCGATTAATCTCTGTGGACTTTTATTTCTGTCAACCTTATTGATTCTGCTTATCATACAATCGTGATTAACTTCTTTGCATTCATTGTTTATGTATGAAATAGCGAGGAAGCGAGGAGCGTCTACATATTATTGACATGCTGGAAACTGGCAGAAGCCAGCGTGCTGTGACCAATACATTAAATTCAATAAACGGTTGACGATCGAACCAGGGCGGCCCAGGTCAACGACTAGAGTACAGGGTCGATTGATCCGAAACCAGGCTCTACGAAATCGAGCTCAAACGGCGAATCATATTGCTGCGAACGTTCATCGTGCTACTGGTGTACGAGGTACGAGTCAGACGATTACAAATCGTCTTCCTGTAGTTCATCACAATGTTCGACGGTCACATCGTCATATTGCCAACATACGTCAGTGGTGTACACAACGTCGAAAATTGGGTAATCGTTGCTGGTCAATGGTCATATGCATGTTTTCAGATAAGTCCCGATTCATTTAACACTTCTTCGACGGGCGTGGTCGTGTCTGGCGACGTCGAAATGAACGTCAAGCCAATGTCAACCTGAGACCTCAGTACAGATTTGGCTGTGGATTGGTTAAGGCGAGGGGTGGCATCACTATGACAAAGCGAACCCCACTCAATATTGTGCAAGGAAGGGTAATTTAACAGTACTATCGGGACACCATACTGACACGCTTTATTGTCCAATTTGCAAGGTGTGTGGGTCGAAGTTTTGTCTTTCAAGGCGACAATGCCCATGCTTAATGTGCACAAATCGTCAATGTTCACCTCCATGATATGGATACGTGTTCGTCAACGCCATAGGCCGCCGACCATGTTGGCTGAACATGGCCAGGCGCTGCAAGATGAGTGGGGCAGACTCCCTCAAATCGCCTTTGGGAGCCTCATACGCAGTTTGCCTCGTCGAGTGAATGAATGTTGGACAAATCGCGGCGGTATTACCTACTACTGAGCTGTAAATGTCAACTTTGAAATTTCCTATATAAGCCCTATCGTCCTTCAAGATCGTTCAGACCGCCTCCGTGGTCTAGTGGTAGGGCGTCCGCCCGGAGAGCGGAAGGTCCAGGGTTCGATCCCCTGCCGCGTCATACCAAAAGATGTTAAAAGATGGTACTTGTTGTTACCCTGTCTGGTGCTCGGCATTAAGGGGCTAAAACCAGGACTGGTCGGCTCGGAGTCAGTATACTGTGTCTGTTTTGGTATTTATGTTAAACTGCGGCATGGTATCTCAGTTGGCTAGCACTATAAATCGGCATCAGTCCGGACTAGTACAAGCAGCCACACACACACACACATGCATGCACGTCGCTATATAAGTGCAATAATCTTGGACGCGACGTTAAACCCAATTTCACCTCACTTCAAGATCGTTCATGGTCATAACCTCTATTGTCATATGTCACCACCGGTTGTAATGTGTTCCCAATTCATTCATTATTATCATACAACTATTACTAGAAACTGATATATCTTACACTTTTGGAAACTTTAACTTATGTCTTACCTTCACCCCTACTTTTTTAAGAGAATATAGTATTACCAGGTGCCCACCGCGTTTACGCTGTGTGTTGCACTCACGTCAGGTTTAGTGTATCAAACTGCATCAACTTAATGCTGACATGTCTCCATATCTATAAGATCTGTAATACGGGACTGTCAGTTCGTTTAACGTTTAATCCTTAGGGTAAACCTGCAACAGAACTGTTCCCTGCAATGGATCATCTATCTCCTGGATACATATTGTGCTGGTTCATGTCAAATAATGCCTTTTAAGTTGTCTGTAACCTATACAACAAACAGTTACACTTTTATGTAAATTGTGCGAGTAGCCTGGGCTACCCGTAGAGCAGAACATGATTGCCCCTTTCGCGAACACCTGGTGTCAACACTGATTTTCAGTAATCCATTCTTTTACGCCCAATGTACAGTAAACTACGTTTATAACGAACTGACGGATATAACGAACTGTTTTTTGGTCCCGTTCATTTGCTGTATACATGCTAAAATGTGCTTTTAACGAACAACGGTTATAACGAACTAAATTTACTGGTCCCTTTGAGTTCGTTATTACCGTACTTTACTGTAATCTGTTTCGTCAGATAATCGTGACTGATTTTTTTCTGGCGTTGACGGGTATTTTATATTTTAGGGAAATTAAAAGTCCATTTACTTGTATGTTTTTTTCTGTCCAATTCAATATTGGGCAAATATACTTTCCCAACAAGTCGTTTATCATTAATATGAGGAAATGTTTTGACAGAATTATGATTAATGTCCAAATTCTAGAATTCAAATGAAATAAACATTGGCCATTATAATGTCATTAAATCAATACTGTATAAAATTCAAATCAGAAACGTGACATGCACTGAGAAGCCGAGTAATATCCTGCTTATCAGTTAGTGTTTAGATTGGATTGGTTTTTCCCTTGACGTTTTAATATGAACAGTCCAGTTCACGTATGAATCGCTATCTTAATCCACATGAGTTGACGGGCCTCGCCCACTATTGAATCACAGATAAGAAAATAGATTGACATGTTGACGAAAACATTATTGATCGTGCACATAATAATCTCTTTCCACACATGTGATTTCAGGTCCTCCTTTCGCATCACCTCTTTTAGGTAGAAGCAATTGAACAATGTCCGCTTCAAGTGAAACAGCGTCCCAAAGTGTGGCCTCAATGTTGCATTACGACTCAACACAGAGTCCTTGGAACACTATCACAAATATAGCGACGAAATACATGTAGACACTGACACACAGACATATGGTGTATCGCCACAATGTGGATATTATCAGTAACGCTTTTTCTAGTGTGATGTAGATAGCACATTTTCTCACCTGTGCATATCTGACTTTATCATAGCTTTTCGTGTACGTGATGCAGGCATAACATTGTTTCATGGCGTACAAGACCACGCATGTATGAAAAGGCCATATAGTCTAAACCATTGCAGAACATTAAATAGCTGTTTCAATCTTAATTTATAACTCATAAGGATTGAATGTTTTTTGTCATTATCACAACAAATATACCAGCGTTTATAAACTGCGAATGTGTGTTTTTACAAAGTCGCCTTTTGTCTTGAAGTGTAAATTACCTGTTCACAAAGACCCGTTTGACTTTTCTAGTAGCATTTCTGAAGACATATATGTATATATTGGTCGCCGCACAAAATAGTAATAATATAACACCTCTTTGTTCTCCATAAACAAAGTAACAAAAACAGTGCATCACTTAACAACAATGGGAATTATTGATAACAGCAAATGAAGAATCAATCAATACTTACCAGTTGCTCCACATCTCTCCCCAGCTACCAACAACCATAACAACACGATCTTAAACATCATTCTGAACGTGTGGTAGAGATCAAATCAAACTTAATTGAACTTATCCTATTTTATTTTTCTTGCAACGTGGACGGATATGGGCATGCGCAGAGGGTTTATGGAGTTGATAAATTGTCAGATAACAACCGTCAATACGCCCAGGTCCCCTATGTCGTTCCTCATACGTAGACACGCGCCGTTTCTTATCAGTTGCGGAGAAAACAAACAGCGAAAGACGAGTTTAAATACACTTAACAACAACTACATTAAATAGCCATTGATCTAACCTCTTACATATCATTCCACGGGTTTGAAACAATTAAATGTAAACATGAAATATAATAAGGAAAATTTTTCTCAAACATATACGTTAAAGGGGTTGGCCCATGGCATTGTCCACTTTAGTAGAAAAACACACATTGATATCACTCGAAATGACTTTAACATTTATCAGTTGATCAAGTGTTGTACACGTCTGTGGTCACTCTATTTTTATTACCACATTCGAAAAACATTCTCCTTTCTTGGAGGCAAATTTAACATTTTCAATGTGCGGGGTGACTGCTTCTTAAAAACTTAAAAAGGCCAAAGATGTGCTCAGGTGTTTTTTGCATTCGACATAACAATATTATGTCATTAGTGGCATCTTATCGTTCCAGTGTCTTCGGGGGATCTAACAGCAGAATGACATGTATTTTATTTTCGTCCTACAGCTCTACATAATAAAATCAAGTATACAATAGGAGCTTATACATAGAAAAACAATATTACAGCTCCCATATAATGTTATGAGAGCCGGTACAAAACTAAATGATAGAGTTGTCAGGAATTTATTCAATATAAGAAATGCTATCTGCGTTGTAATATAACAAAAATCAAGATTAGGCAGTGAAATTTACGACGCACAACAGGTTTAGAATGTTTGGCACTAAAGCCGTTATACTTGTAATTAAGGTAAATCAAAGATCATCGTATAATGGACATTGCAAAATTGAAAAAAACATAGTCTTCATCTTCAATATGATCATTACAGATAAAACACACTCTGTCTTTTATATTTTAGTATTACTAAACATATCTGCATGTTTCGAGTCTCAAAGCTGCAGGACCACATCTCAATTTGGCAAAGACTGAACGGTTACTACGGGACATACAGCCACTGACATATATTTCGCAGAAAAAACAAACTTGAAATATCCAGTATGTACGGAGTTTACTTTCCTGCAAACGTTCCTGCAAGCTTATCAGCTACCTTTACATAAGAACATCCTGCATTTTGCTTGCAATAGCTGTCGTATTAAAACAGTGATGTGTTAAATATATACTGAGTGCTGAATGCGGCCAACTTTTCCGAAAAACGTGAGTTTCAATTCCTACTACTAGCGGCCTTCCTTTCCGCCCATAGAAAGACATGTTTATTTAATCGATCAGGCATATTTGTAAAACGACACCACTGTCTAGCTATACATATCCACTGACTGACAACCGGAGGTATCCACCCTGTGTCTCTATATAGAGCTAGATTAGGTGCATATCTGCACATACCGAAAAAAACACCTGATAGCCTGGTGGTAAAGTGCATTAACTGCAGATACATCAGACACGATTACCCCTTACAGACGCGCCGTAACTAAGAAATGACGACACAATAGTGTCATATAAAACTTGAAGTGTTGCAAAGCACACATCCGATTGTCTTAAATTTGGAGATAAAAAGGCCTAAATCTCTGTCAGCTGAGATTGCCACAGCCTTGACATTGCGTTGAAATCAAGATGTGCATGCTCAGTCAGCGATTTACCCCTGCATGTTTAATCTGAAGCCGAACCAGCAACAATAAACTGCTCTGTGTTCTTGGCACACAGGGGCGGTCGGGTAGCCTAGTGGTTAAAGCGTTCGCTCGTCACGCCGAAGACCCGGGTTCGATTCCCGACATGGGCACAATGTGTGAAGCCCATTTCTGGTGTCCCCCGCCGTGATATTGCTTGAATAGTGCTAAAAGCGGCGTAAAACCATACTCACCCTTGGCACACAAGGATTTCTAAAATGTACAATATGAGACTTTTCATAGTTTCATACCTCTTATTTAAAATGTGTAGCAATTTCTTCAAGTCATCTTCAGATTCTGTCAATAAATTAATATTATCATCGGCATATGCTAAGGCGGAAATAATGGCACCACAAAAAATTAATGCTAATTTGGGGATCAATCATGACATCAATAAAGTCTCTGATGACAAAACCGAGACTGTAAGCATCCTTGCTTCAAGGCACGATAAACAGCAATATGAGATATAAACATACCATTTACTCGCACACTACACTTCTAAAAAATTTCAAATATGCGGCGGTGACTCCTTATTTAAAAAATAAGGAGATAGATATGATGAGGATACAATACCGTGCGTACACCATGTCATTGATGGCATATCAGCGTCCCACTGTCGTTCATCATCAGCTTCTGTTTGCAGAGTTACATCGAAGAATAGGACATATACAGAACCGTAGCTTGGGAGGGTGTGTGTGTGAAAAGATGCAACTTTAGAACATTGATCTTGCGAACAGTTGCAAAAATATTTTTAAAAATATTTTAAGTAATGTGAGATAACATACATGTATAATGTTTCTTAAAGTCACAGTAGGTCAACGTTTTATCCAGCAAATATGCGCCGAGGCTCCTAAATTATGGGTACGAGTGAACGAAGCATTCAGGCAAACATATCTGATTTCTGTATCTCTAAAACTACTATAATCGGGGAGTTCCGAATTCATATTCTGTAGTTTCTGACCGCTATAACAAAAAGGGGTATATTTCTGCGGTGGGTTTTTTGCTAAGCTCTCAATTTTCGAATCTAGGAGTAAGTGAAATTAAGCCAAATAGTTTTAGAAAGCTTACGCTCTGATTGTATCATGAACCCTCGCATACATCATTTAGACTGGGGGTGTGGGGTGGAGGTTGGGTGGGGGGTAGGGAGGGGGAGGGGGCGGGGGTAGGGATGGGGAGGGGTGGGGGAGTAGGGAGGGGGTGGTGGGTGGGGGTGGCTTAAAGGTCGTTAGGCGTTCGCCTGATTCAACCTTCCATGGAGGTGTCCTTAGATCTTCACGCAGAGGTGTATCCGAGTAAAAGATCTGATTTAATTCGATTGCCTTGAATTAATATATGCCATATTTTGTCCTTCATTTGTATTGACATTAATTTACTTTTTTTCAATATTGTAAAAGGGATTCGTGGTCCCTGACACGTATAATACAGTGTTTTGAGACACCGCATTTTAACAGACAATCAAGACATGTGTTGGAGGTACTTAATCTGTTTTATAAGTGACTCAATAATTCAAACGGATGAAGGCGGAAAGAAATAAGGGAATGAAAGTGTACGTGACTATATCAATGGAACTGCCTTTAACTTTCATCGAAAACCTAAATTTGAAGCGTCTGTAAAATACGCTTATCAACATGTCCCATCAATTGCTTGAGTGAGTGAGTATGGTTTTATGCCGCTTTAAGCAATATTCCAGAAATATCACGGCGTGGGACACCAGAAATGGGCTTCACACATTGTGTCCATGTCGGGAATCGAACCCGGGTCTTCGGCGTGACGGGCTAACGCTTTAACCACTAGGCTACCCGACCGCCCCTCGATTGCTTGAGATATGAGTCTGTTGAACTATTTTAAATAGTTCAAATGTCAGTTGTCTACGATATGATTGTCTGTCCATGAATTGAATATGACGAGATGACCCAATAAGCCCTTGTGCTGTGTGTGCAAAGGAGATTATTCACAGATGTACATGTTTTGTATGAAATTATAAACCGAAATAGTTGTACTATATTTGTATTTCCAAATTGATTTTGAATCCAAATTCGTTGTGTTTCAACATGCAAAAAAAAGAAAGTACAAGCCAAACGATGTCACACAGATGTTCGGTTTGGAAGCAGATAGAAGTAACTCGTAACCATCAGAGAAGCCATAAGGAATGCAACTGCTTGATGCGACTGTAATGGTACATTACTTCAAGGGAGGTAACTCATCCCGCCTAGATAACAAAGGATCTGTTAATGGTCGGCTCTGCTACTCTTAACACCAACCAACCTAGACAACTCGGGCTGGGACGAGTCCAAATTTACTACCCGGGTACCCGACCCCCTATTACCCGACCCTACCCGGGTACCCACTGCAAGTTTCAAGAGTAGGGAACAAAATGTCTGATTGGTAATTGTTTTACCGAGGCCTTGGCTAATACTATAAAGATACATGTATCAGACAATCAGGTCATGCGTTCACTGAAGTTTACTGAACCTTGATATTAACTCCAACATATACAAGTCAAAGGGAATTTGTGCATCGTCAGAAAGAAATGCGAACAATAGCGACTGGTAGTGTAACCACTGAGCTATAGTAAGTGTCATAAAACAACATATCACGTGACTAACCACGGGTCCGGGTAGTCGTGTTGGTAGATATATAGGTCCTACTCAGGACCCACCCAAGACAAGCTCAACGGTGTTAACTGACATACTAATCAAATAATGATGACACCGGGTTTTCGGGAACATTTTAGCGTATCCTGCCCAACTGGCGGCATCCGACACAAACACATGCAAAGGCTAGTCAACTGTTTACTTGAAAAATTGTAACAGCATATATAATCTAATGTACAGGCCGTGGTAACGCAGTGTGCTGAAAAAGATTAAACTTTATTCATTTTAATGTCCGTTCCAGATTAAGCAGTGACTTTTATAGTGTTTCTATTTGATCGTATTGTTAATTAATCGGGTTGTTTTAAGAAAACATGGGAACATTCGGCACATGTCAAATAGGGAATTGCATCGGACATCATTTTTGTCACTGATGCGTCAAATTTAGAAATGTCCTCGACATGTCTACCATAAAACTTTTTGAAAGCTTTACTGAAGGCCTTGATCAAACAACTTCTGAGCAAGAGTCATATGACGCTCTTTGAAATCTTGGTAGAAATATATTACATAGGTAATAGGTCCCTCCACCACACAACCACCACAACCAAATAGTCCCCGGGGGCATGGGTGGCCAAGTCGTCTAAGGCGCCGCGATTCGCTGTGCAGAGTTGCGCTAGAAACCTATGATT